TAATTAATTCGTTGAAAACAGATCCCTTGGCCGAACTTCATTTTTTTAATGTTTAAATATGAATTATCTATCTATCAAATTTTAAAATGTCAACATTTTTTTCCTATAATCAATCCCAAGTAATTTAAGGCTAATAATTCAAACCAAATTTAACAAGAATAATTATATTAAAATATAATTCTATCTTCATAATTATTCAATCAGTCTTGAACATTTAAGTCTTTCATATCAGTTCAAATATGAATCATTTCACTTGTGACATGTTGCGCATATATATATATATATATATATATATATATATATATATATTGTTTATATTATATTGTAGACCCTGTCTTGTGACTGGGGTTACATTAATTGATTTATTTCATATTAATCATCTTATATTCAGACTATAAATAATAAACATCATTTGAAAATGATTAGACTATTGTACAATGTAAAATTGTTTTCCACTATATTTACTTAAAGTCTTCTATATTAGTGTGTAGAGATTGTTTCGTTATGATTTCTGTCTTATATTTTTGACAAAAATGAATTTATATACATTTTTCATATATGTTAAAAATTAGTTTGATTTTTAGTTTCAGACGACTGCTGTTTATCTTTTATAAGTACCATAATGTTATTTAACTGAAATTTTAGATTACCGTCACCTCATAAACATTTTTTATGATTAGGACACTTTAGTGTTGAACGAAAAGGATAATAACAAAAATAACAATATATTTTGCTAAATATCAGTGTATAGCTTATATATAACTAAGAGACTGGACTTAATCCAAGTATAGCTTATGTCATACATTAATTAAAATTAGTTTATATGAATTGTGACTGTCAGTAGAATGTAAGTTGAACGTTTCATTCTTTTTGAATATCATTAGGCAAATTTTCAGATTAAGATTCAAACACAGTCCCTATTGCTTCAAACGCTAACCTATTATTCATTAGGCTATTGACTTCAGACAGACTTTGGATTGTAAAAGTGGTATGATGCTATATGTAGTAACTTAAATTTTTTATATATCAAGGACTGTTTTCTGAACTCAGCGATTTAATGGAAAGCCCAATGATATTTGAAGCATTAAAGATCGGATTGGAGCTTCCGTGTATATATCAAGTTTTGCCTAATATATCATTTGGCGAGTGGCAAGTAAGATTTTATTAAAGACAAAACCGAGACAATCCACTTAGGATACACACATGATGATTGAAACTGGTCAACTGCAGTCCTTAAAATGTCAATAACCAGAAAAATCAAACTCTTATGAATACCTTCTATGAGCACTAGTAAAACTTTTTCAATATGATTTATTTTATAATTTGACATCCACTTAGGTTTCCTCGAGTTATCTCTCTGTAAAGTTTTACTGGCTTGAGAAATGATTCTTCTTTGTTATCTAATTAAAACGAAGGGTTTAGATAAAGGATAACAGAGTTGTCATAATTGACATACACTTTTTGAGTTTGGTTTATTTCGTGTTGATACATATAAAGAGTTTGAAAGTAAGACATAATATCTGTCCATTACTTCTTTGTATCTGACAGTTATTTAGCTAATATCATTTCATAACACAAACTTTCTTCAACCGAAACCACTGAATTAAATAATTCCTCATTACTTCATAAAAACAAATTATAATGTCATCCAATTTTGTTTGCCATATGTACATTCACCCCAATAATCTTTGGTTGATAGGATCAACAAACTATTAACGTTTATAAAATTCATTGATAAACAGTAAAAACGTAAATGTATTATTTTATTGGAAATTTCTTTACTACTCAAAAATGGTTAGTAAGCATATAAACTAGCAGTGACCTTAGTAACTCAGTTTATTTCAACACATAGTTATAAAACAAAACATTTTAAGTCTTATCAATAAACTCATGTCAGTATCATTCTAATTCATAGTGTTTATATTGTATTGTAGTCTAAAATAGTGATAATGTAATCACCAATGAATTTTTACAATTAAATCATTTTATTTCAATGGTTAAGATCATGAGTCAATTGAAGCTAGACCGCCATGGAAAAACTGGAAGCACTGGACGGCCGTTTCGTCCTATTGTGGGACTCCTCGGCAGTGCGCTTCCAGGTTTTCCATGGTGGTCTAGCTTCAATTGACTCATGATCTTTACCATTGAAATTACTACAATCTCCACAAAACCCCTTCTGGTATAAATTATTTTATATTGATAGTCATTTTTAGTAGACTTATCACTGATCTGTTGTAGTATGTTATTTTGAATCATAAAACTATTGAACTATAATTACGTTGATGGCCGAAAACTTGGGTGAGGACAACTGGTTTATACATAATGTAGAGATTTTGTGAATGAATGTTACTTTACAAAAAGTATTTAAGGGATCACGAAATAATACGCTTTTATAAAATCAGTAAATGAAATCAGTAATGTCGTTTAAAATTGGTACAAAAATTACTCATATCATTAGTCGATTAATAATCAAGACTGTCAACCATTACAATCTTGCGGACTAACCCTAATTAGATGATCAGTGAAAACCAGGAACACTGTGTAGTAATTAATTGATCACTGGGTAGTGACAAATATTATGTGTATCAAGTTCTTCTTAGTACAGATCGAATTATGTCGATCAAGTTAACATACGTTAATACTAGTCTAGGAAGCCCTAGTTCAGGGTTTCTTGTCGACTACCCCCAAATGCCACCTTACACTGTATATTTTTCATTCTTGTATAAGATTCCTTTGCAGTGGACGCCTACGAGAACATTTACATGACGGAATTTTGAGTTAATTTGTTTATAATTTCTTTGATGCTTTATTTGTTTTAAACTTGGCATCAAAAGGCTGTCTTAGGCTTTGATCATTTGTCAAGATTATCGTGAATACGGCATTCTACAAGTACTGAGAATAAATCGATTAGTTATAATTAATAATATATATGGACTAGTTTGCTTTGTTGCAACAAAACATTTCCAAATCTCTCGATCATCTCTTCATTTAAATAACTTGATTTCCATACGAAATCACAATGGATGATAAATTTATAGCTTTCTTTGAAAAGTAACAATGCACATTAATGTCAAAAATTAAGAATCCTTCAATTTTATTGTTTTTTCATTCTCTGTTGGTCAAATTTCTACCGTTTCTGACCAAAAGCAGGGATGCTTATTCGTAACTAAAACAATTACATGTCTATGAAGTATAATCATTTGCGATCGCGTTCATGATTTCCTGCTTTATCTTAATGTAAAGTTAATAGAGAAAAGTAAATGGATTCCGATGGTCAAATAAGATCACAGGATAGACAGACATCATCCTCCATTGTGAAACATTTGATTGAGACGGGTCATAAGGTTGACATCAAATTAGCATTTGTAGTGTTATACAAAAGCCTTCAAGGACGTATACTAAGGTCTATTGAAGCCTTGGCTATACGGAAATTCAAACCCCCTTTATGTGTTCAAAAAACAAGTTGTCCCTACACTTAACCTACCCTGGTAATACTGATTTATTATCCAGAGTGGTAATCACATTTGTTTTTGTGTACTTTAATATTTTTCCCTTGTTATGACTTACAATTAACCTGTCTAGTTGACCTTTTATTTATTTTTATATAAATGTTCTTAACAAGTATATGTGTAATCAGATTGTTCGAAATGTATTGCGCAAATATATCACATAATTCTGATAGACTTCGTCTTCTCATTGCATTATCGAAATTTATCAAAAGGACTAATTGTTTTAAAGATCCTTCGGTAATTAAATCATAAAGAAAAGTTTTGAAATGAATTTGTACTACACATGTCAATAAGTATATTTAACCTAGATTGAAGTTAAGTAGCAAACGTAAAAATGTGTTTATTTCATGGCATACTGTCATGAAGGAAAAGATACTTTCTTGATTCAGTATTCTTGACTTCGTCGTGAATTCCTAAATAAGTTTTCAGAGATCATACAGCTCAATGCGTTATTAAATGTCACGCCTACCAAGAGCAGGTAGAAATTTTGAGGTAATTGCTTATTTCTATTATTCCTTGAAGGTAAATGAAATCAATCTTAGATGAGTTTTTACTTAAACTGTTTCCATTGGTTCCTAGTAGTCTTCTTTGTATTTCTTGGTAGTTTATCATCTTCTTACACATAAATTTTTAATAGTTGAGATCACAAATCAATTGGAGCTAGACCACCATGGAAAACCTGGAAGCACTGGACGGCCATTTCGTCCTATTGTGGGACTCCTTAGCAGTGCGCAACCACGATCCTACATCGCGAGACTCGAACCCAGGACATATCGGTCTCGTGCACGAACGCTTATTACATCTCATAAAATGCATATACTTATTTCTTAATATATCAATCATGTTTTTATTTTATAAACAAGTAAACTCATCGAAGTATGTTCTTTACATTTCATTACAAAAATATATATATAATGGCTGTTAATTAAAAAAAAATCATTTTTGATGTTTGTTGAAATAACTCTTCGATACTGTACTTTAAAAACCATCAATTTATTTAAAAAATCTATTTTAAAAAAATTGAATATTCCTTCTCTATACACTATGAATCCTTTCTTTCTACTTAAAATGATGCATACTGTCGGTAAAGTTTAGTAAAATGTTGAAATTCTGTGCTCTTTTGCACAACCATAGTCCAAGGGTCATTGATTTATTTTCAGTTTGGAATTTCGCTTTCCTGTTTTCTTTTATGAACTTCAATAACCAGAAATAATAATTTTGAGTATCAAAATGAACACATTCTTGTATACTACTTAAAACATAAAAAAAAAAACAAAAGACGACTAATTTTTTCATAAGTTTGTTTAAATCTTTGGACCTTATCAGTTATTTATTTCAATGATAATGTTATGTAGTTGAAAATAATCACTACCACATACAGACTTTAGATGAACGATCATTGAAAACTAGAAAGTACTGGCCAGTTTTCGTATCCTAATATTGAACTAACAATCTACTGATCATATTTTTATTTTTTATTTTTATTTATTTATGGCTTTATTCAATATTATATTTTGGTACAATATAGAATTCTCAGCACAAAAAATATTTCAACAAGTTTCTTTTACAGAAAAAAAGGTTGATAATAAAAAAATCTGTAAAAACTGTACAACTTCTCAATTAGTCATGTTAAGAATGCAGATTATTGACTAGGTTAACTCTAACAACCTGTTCGTCACAGAGTATATTTGCTAGGTACGGTATTATAGAACGTTTGTACTTTTGCTTGCGTGCTTGGATTTTAATGTAATTTCGTCTCGTTCTACCAGAAGGTATACAAGGAGGAAGATATGAGTGAAGGGGATGGTTAGTATCTGATAAAATAACACCTGCCAGGAGTTTGCATGACTTTAGATGTCTATTCACAACCATATTAATTATGGTCTCGAAAGATTCACCACATACCTTGCTAACTGCCTTCAGCACTCTCCGCAGTACAGAAAAGTCTTTTCTCAAAAGCCCGGGAAAGAATAACGGAGAACAGTAAAGAATAATAGGTAATATGCAAGAATTGACAAATTGTAAGAGTAAATGACGAGTGATCCCAAGAGCATGCAATCTCTTAATGTAGTAAGTCAGACGGAGAACCTTTTTCGATAACAATGAAACGTTAGATGACCAAGAGAGATCAGAGGAAAAGGTAACACCAAGATAATTGACAGTCGACACTGTGTTTATCAAAGAGTCGCCAATGGCACAAGCATTATGAGATCTTAAAAAGGTGTTTAAATGCCGATCATGTCTCATGCTAAAGTTAACAGCCTGACATTTAGACGGATTAAGTATGAGACCATTAACAACAGACCAACTATCAATACGAGATAAAAACTCATTCATTTCTATAGGATGTAAATAGGAAGAGATAGGCATACAAACAGTGAGATCATCTGCATATTTCACGAAGGTGTTTACTGCGGAAGATGACAGATCATGCAGAAAAAAAGAGAAAAGAAGAGGTGAAAGAACAGCTCCTTGTGGTACACCTTCATAAGACACTAGAGACTCTGAACACTTTCCTCCAAACACTGTGTACTGTTCCCTTCCAGAGAGGTAGGAACATAGCCAGCTGGTTATCCAGCTGTCAGTGTTGACGCTGATTAACTTGTTAAGTGAACGTTGTCTTGATATAGAATCAAAAGCAGAAGTATAGTCCAGGAAAGCGCATCGAACATACTTCTTACCCTTTTCTAGGTTGAACATTATATTATGATGCAGAACAGCAACAGCATCTAAGGTGCTTCTTTTGCATCTGTAAGCAAACTGATACTGGTCAATGTGCTCTTTTATCGCAGGCTGAAGTGAAAGTGTCAATAGTTTTTCCATTGTTTTGAGGAAGGGTGAAGTTATTGCAATGGGTCTGAATTTCACATTCTTATCACCAGATGCTTTCTTGGGTATAGCGATTATCTTCATCTTTCTCCACATTTTCGGTATGAGATTGGAAGAGAAGGATCTATTAAAGATAGTAGTGAATGGATAGCATAGGACGTCAGCACACTTTTTGAAATGGAGGTTTGGGATACCATCAGGTCCCAAACATCGGAATGAATTTAGTGACTGGAGACATTTTCGGACATCATTTTCGGTGAAACTAGGAACACAGCTATTTTTTAAACCCGTGAATAAAGAGAGCATCACATCAGATGACTGACGTAAAAAAGATTTATTTAAGTCACAAACATCCAGCTGCTTATCGGTCCTAATCTACTTGTCACCTGTAAGTTCTGTAAAGAGTTTCCACATACTTGAAGAGTTTTTACAAGACAAGAGTTTTTGAGCAAACATAGTGTTGAGACGACGAATCTCGAGGTTTATCAGACCATTTAGCTTACGAACTTCACTAGAGTTTTTCACCTAGTACATTCTTTCTTTCACCCTCCGTAGTCGTTTTAGTTGTGAAGATGTAAGTCGATCAACAATTACAAAAATAGTTCCAGTGGGACAACAAATATCAAAACAGAATTTAAGGTAACAGGTGATAACATCAGAAGTGATTTCCAGTGAGTCATCTGTAAATAATTCCCAGTTAGTCGTATGAAACATGTTTTGCAGATTTCGGATATTTTCTTCTGAGTAATTCCTATATTTGACTTTCTTAGTTTGATTTAATAGTGTACTCTTCCCATGCTTTCCATATACTTTAGGTAAAACACGAATTATACAGTGATCTGAGCTAGACAATGGGGCACGTTTACGAGTCACATATATACCTACATCATTAATGAAAACGAAGTCTAAATGAGCATCCAACCGAGTAGGAAAATCTACTACATTTTGGTGACCTAGCGATGTAAGGAAGCTACAGTCACATGAATTGAAATCACCACATACAACTGAAAGTGAATCACTGAAAGCAGTAACGGCGAATTCAGTGAATTCATCAGCGAATACAGATAGCGCAGATGATGTGCAGTCTGGGGTCACATAGATATTGGTAACACAAACATATTTGTATTTATTCAGATGTTTTGGACGGCATCTTAGAGTTAGATAGTTGATAAAGTCATTTGAAAACTTGAAACACTCAAACGTAGGTCGACACCAGTTCACGTTTACAAAAGTAGCTACACCGCCGCCACACCTCTTTTTATCGTTTGATCGATCCTGACGATAAATTTTGAAATCACGTAAAGATACTAGGCAGTCGTCCTGTAAATCGTTTAACCAAGATTCTTGAATTGTGATGACACCACAATTACGATACATATTTTGACTTAGTAGGAATTGAAGATAGTCTATCTTGTTAATTGATGATCGGCAGTTAGAATTTAGCAACTCGGGAATCGACATACGATTAATGTTCATTTTCTTCAACGCATATTGCCAACCACCACGATGTCTTCTATTGTAGTTTTTTGTAACTTTGCAGCGAAAGGTCGTAGGCTTTTCATAAACGCGCCTGTATATGTTATGCGATTAATGGACATAATGAGACGTTAAAACAAAATGAAAAACAGATAACTTGTTGAAATAACTAGATGGCAGAAACAGGTAGCCTGGATATTCAAGCAGGCCGCCGTATATATATATATATATATATATATATATATACGACTACTCTATGGACTGACGGCGGGATATTTAGCTTCACTGAGTGTATTACTTCTAATCCACTGATGTGGCATGCATTCATTTATATTTTGTACTTTAATCAATTTGTTAACCTGCGCGACCATAACCTATTTGGATCAATGATATTAGTCTGAAGCTTAACATGGATACAAATTCATTTCATGTTAATATCTATAAATTTTTAAGTTAATTAATATATTTGCTTGATTAATAATTTAGTAACAACGACGAATTTAATCTATTTAACTCTGAACAGAAGTAACAATAACAATTTATAATCATATTAACGGAAACAAATTAAATAAGATGATGGAGAGAATTTGTAGCTCAAGTGGATAATTTTGATGGAGTTTGGTTCTCTAAGCTGGATCGTGGAGCTTTCATCAACTTGAAACTTCTACCTGAAGTTTCTGCTGACGATGATATCGTTCAAAAGAACAATGAAAGTTCCATGAATAAACCATCCAGTTCAGAGAACAAAACTTCATTAAAATAAGGTGATTTTGTAACAATGTTTTCCAGTTACAAAGACAATTTGCATTAACTATTTATTACTTCGACTTAAAACTGTTCGTGATGAAAATTACCTTCGAAAAAATTTCGATAATGTAATAAGACGAAGATTATTAGAACTATATGATGATATATTAGCGTCGTACATTCCGAACAATCACAAATATACTTGTTAAAAACATTTATTTATAAAAATAAAAGATCAACTAGACTGGAAACGAGGTAAGAGCAGACAAGGATAATAATAATAATAATAATAATAATAATAATAATAATAATAATAATAATGTGAACACAATTTGAAACTTAATCACTCTGGATAATAAGCCAATATTACCACGGTAGTTTTAAGATAAGAACAAACTCTTTTTGAATCCACAAAGGCGGTTTGAATGTTCGTATGACTAAGGCTTCAATAAACATTAGTATACGCCCTTTTACACTTTTATACAACACCACAAAAGCCGGGTTAAGATCAATCTTATGGCCTATTTCGATTATATGCTTATCAATAGAGGATGATGAATGTTTGTCCCCTACTCTTATTAGGTCACATGATTCTATTTGTTTCTGCAACCATTTCGGTACATGTTCACACACCCTAATTTTGAGATCACGATTGCTTCTTCCTATGTATGTGTGACCACACACACATTTAAATTGGTAAACACAGTGGGATGAGACAATCGTTTTCATGTCTTTTAAGTTTTGGATGAAGCATGCACCTTGTTCTTTCATTGATAATGATCTTTGTTGAGAAACATGTTTTGTTATTGACTGATTTAAGCATTTGTTTCAATAAAAGGCTATTTGAATGGTAAGGTGATGTAGACAGGCTTTTTTTTCTAACAAGGATACAATAGGTCTTACTGTACCATGAAATAAATCATAAAATAAAACCATCTACTTTTAGTTATGTGAAAGAGAAAATTCTTAACATAAACAATAATAAATAAATAATAACTTTGGTACTAATATTCTGTAACTTACCGAAAATGTCTAATTCCTAATTATTAAATATCTATACATGAAATATATTCTTTAAAGTTGGACTTTATTCTAATTATATATATATATATATATATATATATATATATATATATATATATATATATATATATATATATATATGATTGGATAAAAATGTCAACTTATATACGCAATAAATATAAACACTATTTAATGATAGTTTACATATCAATTTGTTTTATTATCTTGTTTATTATAATACAAATATTAATATTTATCAGTTATAATTTGTTTTAATATTCACAGTCATTTAAATAAGTTAGATATTATATGTTAGCTATTTAAATATCATCTAAATTGTTTATGATAAATTGATAAATTCAATGTAATTCCGGGTATTCTTTGAAGTTATTATTTGTTTATATAATGTCAATTCAATACGCATAGGCTGATTTATTCACCTTTTTTTAGTACTTATTTACTTACGCCTGTTACTCATCGTGAAGGAGCGTAGGTCGCCCACTTGCACTCGCCATCCAACCCTGTCATGGGCAATGCTTTCCAGTTGTTATTCATCCTTTTCACATCTGATTTTATTTCCCGACATAATATGTTATTTGGCTTTCCTATTTTCCGCTTCCCTCCAGGATTCCAAGTTAGGGCCTACTTCGTGATGCAGTTTGATGGTTTGAGTGATGTATGTCCTATCTATTTCCATCGTCTTTTCCTAATTTCCTCTTCAGCTGAAAGCTGATTTGTTCTCCCCCACAGTAGGCTGTTACTGATGGTATCCGGCCAATGGATGTTGAGTATCTTGTATAGACAACTATTCATAAATACTTATACCTTCTTGATGATGATTGTAGTAGTTCTCTAAATTTCAGCTCCGTATAGTAGAACTGTTTTTACGTTCGTATTAAAGATTGTGAGTTTGATATTTTTTGACAACTGTTTTGAGTTCCATATGTTCTTCGATTGTAGGAATGCGGCCCTTGCTTTACCAATCCACTTTTTTAGTAGAATATTAGAATAAATAAAGTAATTATTTTGATTTGCTGGTCATTATCTTAGTCTCATTGCCCTTCAACAATATATTTTATATATTCACATTACTTGAAATTAATCTAAACAGTTTTTGATTTATTTTATGGGAAATTGAATCGCTTTGAATGTAATATAGCGATTTCTTGTTAACTGTTATCTTCAAAATCCTGACATATCATGATTAGGAAAGTTCAACAAAGGTTACCCTAATTATAGTGCCAAGACTATTAACAGACCAACAGGAATGTGAACATTATTTCTGCAACTAAAAATATTTTTATCAAATAAACAAGTAAGATTATAATTTATGGATAAACCAATCAGATTTAGGGTAGCATGTGGTGGATTTTGGTGAGAAATTCATTTATCCATATGACTAAATAGAATTTTGGAATGACAGCTAATGTCAGTTCGTTATAAAAACCCTAATTCTAATTCTTAGCCCTAACTATTATCTCTAAACCCTGATTCTGATTTTTCACGCTCTTTAGACCCTAGTTGATAGGTGAGTCTTCGCAAAGTCAAAATATCATTGCTCAAATGTTGTCTATTAGTCATAGCCCTATCAATAAAACTTCAAACTGAGTGGCAATTCAAACGAAACAATACTGACCTAGTTACATATTAGAAAATAATAAACATTTTTATACACTGCTCGAGTTAGGCTGATGGAAAAATTCCGTCATTTTCAATATGAATAGATCTATATAATTCAGTTTATCGTATCTTTTGCAGGAAGTTTTGATCATCAACTTTTAAAACCCAATAATATGAAAGTCCGCTATTTTTAAAAATATTACTATAAAGATACTATGTCGAATATTTATAAAAATCTGCTAAAACCAATAATAATAGCAAGAGTCTTAGTAAAAAAATCTCTTACTATACAAAATCCAGGATAAATTCATCAAGAATAAATGCACTAACAAACAGGTTAACTAAGAGATTAAGGCAAATACCGTCGATAATCTCGCTGAGGAGAAAATGCCATAAAAAATCCTCATGAAGTAATATGTAAAAATAAATCGGCAATAATTCAACTATATTGTTAAAATTTAACTTGAGTAGTGTAGAGGAAACAACGCGAAGCCTTATTGAGTAGGAAGTTTTTCTCGGAGATTTCAAAATTCATCTATTCGTGAATCCCTAAGTGATATCTCCTTTTAATTCGATATTTCCGAAAAGTTTTTCTTTGAACTATTGGTGATCATTCAGAATTTAGTTCTGATTTGAAGTTTCTACAGATGAATATAATCAGCACTTGTCAGAGTTGAATTAGTTAGTCGATTTTTATGTCATTCGAGGATATTGGTCTTCTCCTTGACAATGAAGAATAAATTCTTTTTCTCTTTCAACTACATGAATCAAATCTTTGGGAACTAATAACAAAACACATAAGAACTCGTAATAATTTGTTATAATTATTATCATCATCATGACTTCCTATATAGTAAGCGTGCTATCTACGGACTACAATAGATTAAATGTTCTCAAAAATAAAGTGTGTATTTGTAAAATCTCAGCGAAATTCATTGAAAAAGCTTGGACCAGATTGCCATACGAAACGTTGAATTTACTTCAAATTCTTTCGCTGAGATTTTACAAATACATTCTTCCTCTTTATGTTTTACTACTATCAAATATTGATTTATTATTTAGATTAATCGTATATCTCGATGGCTCCTGGATTTAACTCAACATTGCTTGCCATGTTTATCAAAACTTACAACCGAAATATTTTAGATAATCAAGTCAAAATGACAGAGTTAATTTACATCCAACCTTTTAAAATTACTTCCCTTTTAATTTTATGTATAACAACTGAACTACTGAATAAATTTAATTAGTCAAAATGTATGTCTAAAATAAATCTCATTGCATAAATTTAAACGTCATTAAGCTTTTCAAAGAAAATACTCCAGCCACAGGAAAGTAAACCAGAACTTATCTGTATTCAAAGAAATAGTTGAATAGGTAAAATCGGTTGTTAATGGTTTTAGGAGAGTTGCAGATATTAATGAATTACCAACCTGATATATTTCCAAATATTTGAAATTAGCATTGTACCGGATGAATTATATAATTAATTCCTGAAACGGTATATGTTACTGAAAATAGTTCTGTTCTACCTTATGGAACAAACTAAAGTAGACATTTGCACAGTTCGATATTTGTTCAACTTTTCTTATTTTCCAACAAGTATAACAAGTATAGAGTAAGTGAACTGAAAATTCGTATGAGACTATAATTTATGGATGACGTTTGAGCAGCGCTAGACTGACCTTGAGAGTGTCCACCTAATAACTAGGACCAAATAAGGGTTAGAAATTTTGATTTACAGTTGATGGTTAAGGTTAGGAGACCTGTTAACTTATACCTGATTGGTTCGTCCATAAATTATAGTCTCGCCAAAATTCATTTTATTTTCTCATCCAACGTAATTTATGTACTTACTCTGTACATAAATTAATTCTATCTATTTTCATTAAATGGTCCATTATAAATTAGGTTTTCACTTATTCATTCAGTTTAATATTTCATGTATACATATTGAGATATATTTGAAATACATATTTAAATATTAAAACTGTGAGATAATAAGGAGACTATAAATTCCCCATTCCATTCTTATTACGGAATAACCGTAGATGTATGATTTACTTCCGCTTTCTTAAATCACCTGACTATTTGTTTTTCTCTTTATTAATAAATTAATCTTAACTTATTATGCACCATATTAATTTTAATGAATTTATCTTATAACATCACCTTATAGGAAGTAGTATGAATCATTAAACTGTGTTTTCGACTGAAGCTTGATATTGTAGAAGGTTTGATAAACTAATTTCAAGATAACAGCAAAAACTAAGTTAGGGTTGTTCATAAAAATCAACACACAATCAATATTTAGAATTTCTTCACAGTTTAAATTTTAAAGTTTGAACGTTTTTCAAACGAATAACTAGTTTTGCACTTCTACAACAAATACCCACAGACCTAAATTATCTGTTAGTCATTGAACATATTAATACTTATCTTCAATAACATTATTAAGCTTTGTTTTTTAACAGCACAGTTGAATACGAATAATGATAATCTTAAAGCAAATTATTATCAACCGACTAAATTCATTCATTTACTCAAGAATTTTATTCAGATTTCATAGACAAGAAATTGTCATTTAATCATGTAACTGTAGTCACTAGCTGTAGTAAAGTTTGAGTATAATATTCAACATAATGATTATGGTATGCTGGATTCGGAAAGAAATATCATTGTATATTCTTATATTGTTTTTTTTTTGTAATCACCAATATTTATATAATAATTGGGAGTATTTTAATTATAGTACGAACTAAGAATCCCAGAAATAATGCAATTGGATCAAGAAGTACTATATAAGCACAAACGAATGTACTGTATTTAAAATTCGAAATCAAGCATTTAACAAGTACAAAGGAATCATTAGTTCATTTAAACACCACAATTTACTATTCCTATTAAACAATCCATCTGTTATCTTTTATGTTAATCTGTATTTCTTTATATACTGATTGATTTCTTGGTGAAGACTTTCACCTTTCGAAATTTCTATTTGTTCTTCGAATCATCTTCATTTAACATTTTAATTACCTCATCATTTAATCTTAATATTTATGCTAAATATATAATGAAAATTATTTTTTCGTCTATTTTCAAACTTCTTTTATATTCTTATTATTAATGAATAATGAATGAGTTTCATTTCAAATACTTCAGTAATGTATGAATGTATTCTTTTCCACATTAAAACTATTTATATCTTATGTGTGCTTCTTTCAGGATCTTGATTAACTATAAAGATTCAATATTAATTGTCTGCATATATTTATATCTCTTGTCATATGTCTCTTAGTCTATGCTATTTAGTTAGATTTTTGTATAAAATCTTAACAACTAATGTGTAACGCTCGTGATCTGTAATTTAAAAGGGTAATTTGGGCATTGATTTCATTCGGAAATTTGAATGAATCATTCTAAATATGTATAGCGATTT